GAACTTCATGAAGCTCTAATCACCCACTAATCCTATACCTGTACTTATTCAATAAAGAAAGTTTGCTTTATGTAACTATTAATTCTTTCTATTACTTACTCATATTAATTATTTAATATTTGCTTATCTCACACATACACACAAATATTCTATTTGCATTCAAATTAAATAATTAATATTTTATTTAAATTAAAAATTAAAAATGAAAAGTAAACGTGGATAAAATAATGAGAGATAATCGAATATTAAATAATTCTAAAATTAAGCTCTAAGATATGCATGGAGAAAATGACAGTAAGCAATCATTTGTAGAATCAAAGTAGCACAATAGCCTGTTTATCATATTTATACCGACTAATTAATTACTTCAATTGCCATAAAAATCCAAAAGGAGGGGTTCGCGAAAAAAATCTCGGCGTGATCCTGCTGCCTTCTTGTCACGCGCAAGAGAGTACGATCATCTTATTTTGATCCAGTAATCGCTACTTTGCACGACGGTTTATGATGATTGAACGATGATTATTCATTGAACCGGTGCAGGCGAGCAGTTTTAAATTGCAAGAGGACGGCTATGTGACCGTAAAAGTCGGCATTGCGCTCGTCCGTCTCAAAGAGAAGACTCGTGATGCTCTTTGTCGTGTCGGCCCGCCATGACACGCGAAAGAAGGCATGCTGCTAGTGTGCATTACTTTCACACCATCGCAAGAGAGAGAGAGAGAGAGAGAGAGAGAGAGAGAGAGAGAGAGCCCTAAAATATTCCACTCTGCACGCTATCATCGCGCGGTTATGCCTTATGAATAACTTTGAATCTTTCTCTCGGAGCCGTATTATGAAAACAATCGGCCGCCGGCATTAAATGGTGTAACTACTTTGAGATTTAAACTCATTAAGACTTTAACTCCCGATTATATTATCCGGGTAACATGATTGCGGCGATTAAATTGTTATCGATAATATCGACTAAGAACCTTTTTTTATCTCTCTGAATTGTAAAGAACGTTACGACTGCTTGAAAGTATTATTTTACAAATCTGTTTATATGTATAGAGTAAGAAAATTAAAATAGAGATGAAAGAAAAAAATAGCCCAATAATTAAAGAAACTTGTGATATCGAAGTAGCAAGACAGTCTCTCTGACAATAGTTTCAAGCCAACTTTGCATACGCTCTTGTGGAGGACTATCGAACCGTCATTTAATTTGATTTACGGTGGTAACCACGTCGTTAATGATTAACCGCCCCTTTCGTTGCAACGGCAAGTAACGCGGATTCTCCACGGTGGCTCGCTCAAGGTCCTCGCTGATGAGTCGAGTTTCTTACGATCGCGCGGCGGTAAAATTAGCGCGAACTTTGCTCGCCGAACGATCGCAAGAGAGATCGGCGGCAGCTTCTTTAACGAACGAATGAACTTAAAAGAATCCGTGTCTCTCGACATGGATGCCGAGGTGAACGAGAACGCGTCTCCTCCTCTAAAACCGGAATAAGTTGCTGTCGATTTGCTCGTTGAACCCGACACACTTCGTCACCGATCGCTCGACCCTTTCTCAGGTCGGAATAATTAAAGCATAGAACAGAAGCGAGCAACGAATGCTCGTGCGCGCGAAGTTGAAAGAAGAAGGACGAGCGCACGGTGTGATTCGGTAGCGATAACACTCGGCTCGGACAAGAGGTAACTACCGTGTAAGCGGAGAGATAATCAGTAAGGGACTTTCATAAATGATGCGTTCGCAAACGCGAATACATCTCTCCCCTCGTAATCCGCAATTTGATGTTATCGCGAGGACCCTGATTAATGCGAACACTCGGCGGAATATGATACCTAAGAGCGATGCGCGCGTTTCGCGCGATAGTTTTATTAAATCGAATGCACACAGACGTAAACGAAAACGGATATGTGTGTGTGTATGTGTGTGTGTATGCGTATGCCTAGTTTTATGCGAGCAAACGAGCGCACGGGGATCAACGTGAGAAACGCGAGAAAAAAGAAAAGGCACGTTTCATTCGTCGTCGTGGCGCGGCTCAATGGGTCTACCATCGATATAGGTTGCGTGGGTGTCGAGCAAATGATCTGTCCTCCCGTGACAAACGCCCCAGGCCAATAAGGATTCCCCGTGGTACAATGGAGTAAGCGTATACGAGACGCGGACGCGAACCTTTAACCCCGAGCTCGCGCGCGAGAGAAAAGGGACAGGCCGGAGAAGTGGGTGAGGAGACAAAGCGCGAGCGCGAGCTTCGCATACGGGCGTGCGGACAAATTTTTCTCACGACGAAATAAAGATCTTGTCGGACACGAGGTGGTACAAGACGGAAACACACCGGCCGCGTGGTGGCCGAGACACGCTCGTTCGCCGGCGATAACCTTGGTCCTCTATTTCTCTCTTTCTCTCTCTTTGTCTCTCTCTCTCTCTCTCTCTCTCTCTCTCTCTCTCTCTCTCTC